TCTCAGAATTCAAGGTGAAATTTTTCTCCTCAATGTATACAGAAGAAATTTGTCAAAAAATGCTCACAAAGCTTAATTTATCAGCCTCTGAAAGCATTTCAAAGAACTTGTTGATTCTAAGTTTATTTATGACCAACTCAAATTCTCTCATACCGAATTACAGTGAAATTTATCATCGGGGTATAACTTAAGAAAGGAATTTAGGTCTTTAATGTAGTCCTCTACAAGAAATCTGTAGGAAATTGCAAGCAATAATTCTTAGTGAATTAAAACATGCCACAACAAGAAGCCATGCATAAATAGATTTTAACAAATATCATATGTATATATATATATTCTTTTAAGTTAAGCCATCAAGGTTTTCAACTATTATTATTTAATCGATCTTAATCATTTTTTTTACCATACACACGATTTTTCTGGAATATTCAAGGGAACTGTTTCGCCAGTTTTTATTTCGGAGACAAAGTCTTAACATATGTCAGCTTATCAGTCTAATCAAATGACTTTCTCACACAATCTCAATGCATTTTTAATAGGATTCACTGGATCAAAAATTTGTCAGGCAACGTTATCGAGTGAAGAAACAAGCTTTCGTAAGTCGTCAGCTATTTCAGTTTTCACAAGAAAGACAGCTGAAGACGGCATCAAAACATAGCTTACACTCGGAGATTCTGTCGATCTTAAATAATACAGCTTTGTGAACTTTGCTACGGCGTTTATTTACCATTCTGAGAAAGGGAAAAGACAATTTCCTCTACAAGGACATATAGAAATTCCGTGACGTTGCACCAAGAGTTGTCGCTGACGCCATGTTTATTTTCTTCAAATGATATTAAAGTTTCGCTTTGGAAACAACTTCACTTTCTACACAGTAACATAGCTCTTAAGCAGCTGAACCTACATAAGTTGTTCCTTCAAATAATAGTAATCGACTGATCTTAGGAATAAAAATCATGAATTGACAGTAAGTTTTCGATCAGTCGCGAGCCCTACCTACCGGAACTCTGTCCGGGTACTTCTTCCGAATTTTCTCTCCTTCAGCCCGTCGTTTCTCGAAAGGGTGCTCTTCCTTGTATTCCCACTTCATCGATGCACCTTTCAAAAGCAATCTGTTTTCCTTAGACTATACCTAGAGGAGAAAATATTAGCGTTCTACTTCCGAAGGCACAAGAAAATGGCGCTTCACAACGCCACCAGGTCGATCACGTGATGTTGTGTTCTATGACGTAGGGAAAGTTTAGCATATTTTTAGAAGCATTATGACAGAAACCGGAAGCAGGTTTACTCTACCGGAAGTTGCCAGAAATTGGGACCTTTCAGCTTTTCCATGCAACCCCGCGTTGTGCAAAGGAGGATATTTTTCAATAACCTAAAGAGATTACACTTCGTCAACAGGTATACCTGCCTACCCACATATAGCTCATTACACTACAAATCTACCCAGATTACTATTCGTGAATGGCATATTACTGTCACCTTGAATATAAATATAAATGATAATATATTGGAAAATAAATAATGAACATTGGAAATCAGTTTTATTCAACTTAGTCATGATTACCCTGACAGGCCTTTTTAATGCAGGTAAACTACCAACAGTATTGAAAGTGTTTGATACTGATTATCAACTGAAAAAAAATTGACCAAGAAACTGCTATAGAGGGATATCAGTACTGTAACTCTTTACAAAAAGCCTTTGAGTCGCTCATATCTGAAAACTACACCAATTTCATATTAACAGTAAGGTGTATTGCTTTTGCAACCCATTGCTATAGTAATATGGGGTTCAAAATATTTTATTCTCACACTAGAGATTTATATGGTTGAGGGCTGCCTCAAGGTACGTGTGTTCTTCTTGAAATATTTTCCCTTGATAGTTAAGTGCATTATTTTCAGAGTATACACAACAATGATATATTTGAAGTGAGAGGAGTACAAATTGAGAATATTGAAAATAGAATGGTTTCTCAAAACAGTGTGAATGAAACCCCAAACTTTAATCCAAGTTATGCTGTAGCTTTATACTCTCTTTGCTAACTCCAAATAAAAACAAACCAATTGGAGGGTAATAGTACAAAATATGCTGAAGTATATTTCAACGGTTCATGGGAACCACTCTTACAAGTAGTAATTCATCTGCTACTAAGCTTTGGTGGTGACTTTTTGTTTTCTTTTGGTATTTAGAAAAATAAGCAATTTTTTTTCTTGCATGGGTTAAGTGTCATCACCCTAACACTTGGGGCTGTTTAGTATATGTAATCACATGAGGCCAAGTACTATTAAGGATTAAGTGCACGAGAGTTTTCAAAATTTTCCAAAATTTGGAAATTTTGAAAACTCAAGTGCAATTAATCCTTAATAGTACGAGGTCTCATGGGATTACTTGTTTATCAATAAAGGGCAAAATTTATACGAAGGAAAATCACGCGCACAGTCTATTTTTAACAAATTTCAAGATAACAAACGGTTGCTATGCAACGGATTAGCCAATCATTAACAGGTAATCATGCCCTCTCTTGATTACTAAAAATGCCCTCGATTAAGAAAAAATGCCCTCTCTCTCAACCAATCAGCGCTCAGTAATTTTGCCCTTTATTGATAATAATTAAAAGCTTTCTCAGCCTGGAATCTGTTGTCAACCAAGAAAAAGAACACATAAGAAGACAGCCTATTTGGCAAATGGCTCAGCCCACTACAACCCTTTAACCTGCAAAACAAAATTTAATCAAGAAAAAACTATAAAAAGAAGGAAAATACAATGGAAAAAGTGTCAAGTAACAAGTATTGAAATAATGCCATTAATTGGTACTAACTCCCCCCACCCCACCCCAGAAAAGGGTCTTTACACTACATAACAAATGCTGTTTTCAGCTCTCTGTATACATATCTGAGAAACCTGCATCACTGGCATACCAAGACAGAAAAAAGTTACAGGATAAACCAATAATTTCACAAAAAAATTAGGCACAAAGAAAAAAACAAAGTTTCTTTCTAACAGAAAGCACGAGTGAACGCAAATATGCGTCTAGTTTAAACATAGGCATACTATGCATGCACGAGTTATTTTTTGGGGGGTTAGTGGATTACTTGAAACATTGTAAGTGATTTCTAAATTCTTACAAAAGGAAAGAAGGGTATTAACGCGGAAAAGAACGAAAATGTCGAATTGACTCACAGGTATTTTGTGGTAGATTGCGTGTGTTGTGCGAATAACTTTAACCAAAAATAAACTGTACCGGATACCTGTTAGTACAAAATGCAGACTGCAGACCGAATATAAAATGTAGACTAGGCACAAAATGTAGACTACAGAGTGCGTACAAAATTCAGACTGAGAATCTAAAGAGTTTTTTCGTCTGGTATGTGATAACATGTCATCTTACAACTTACCGAGCGTCACGCAATCGCTTTTCCGCGATCAGCCTTCACGATTATTTGCGCTATTTTGGAATATTCCTGGCCGATTTCTTGATGAAAATCAATCGTAATATAATTTCAAGCCTTTATATAGTCTTCTCACTTTGCGCGCGAGTTGGTTGGTGTGATGTCTGTACAGAGTTTACCAACGTAATAAAAGTAGATGTAGATATAGATGTAGACGAGATGTCACTATTGACAGCTTCTCACATGGTCCGTATTATCATCTTTTTAGGGCGGTATGTTTTTATTTTGTTGATAAAAATACGGACCAAGACCAAAACTGTTCCTTTGACTTGACATATTTTCGACGTTAATAGATCACATCATATTGACTTACCGCCGTTAATAATCCATTCCAGATAACAAAATCAAATAAACATGCTAACGATGGTATCTGCATTCGTCCTTGGCCAAACACAAACGACTCCACAAGATCACTTTCTCCAGACGTTAAAAACATACATAAAATCATCCGTAGTTTATTTTGATCAGAAATTCATCGAGAAATAGCACCGAGCAAACCAATCCAGAAAAATATAATTGGCACACTCAACAAATCAGGAATCTTGCAACACAGCCTGCTGTTAAAGAACTGCTCAAGTCAAAATGTTTGGTGCAATTCATCAACACCTCAAGTAATATTTGATTCAAAATTTTTCCACTCACTCTCGTCGTGGAGGAACAATAACCATGATCGTGCTACAGTGCACAGAACTCCATTTTCTCTCGAACAACTATTTATCCACCATTTTCACAGCACGAGTAACACGTTACCTACAGGTAATCTTTCATCTGTTCAGAAGTATCGCATTTCTAATAAAGCGCAGTGAAATACACGTTAAAAACACAGAAAAGCCAACATTTCTCATTCTAAAAGATGTTTCCGGCCATTTCACAAACCGCTCTCTTCGAATCCCCCCTTACGTCGTTGAAATTTGAACACGTCTCAAACCAAAGAACAAAACGACGCTCTGATTGATGCGAGATACATACCCTAATGCGGCGATCTGATTGGTGCGAGATACATACCCTAAACGATCTGATTGGTGCGTGAGCAACATGCCACTCTCTGTGCGCTAATTAGATGTTATTTTTTATTTTTATAAAAATGCAAACCGGAGACACATTCCGGCGAGGTTTTCTAGAACTGTCTCGAATTCTACCACCCCCGTTAAATGTTTAGTCAAGGCAAAGTAAGCAAGGAGGAAAACTCCGCTACTGCTTGATTATAAGCCATTTTTGAAGCAATTTATTCTTCTTCTACTTATAACTTGACAAACTGATAGGAAAACTAGAAAATAAAAAACAGACCGGAAATCTTGTCCGCTGTTTAAATAGATCTATAAGGTTATGAACTGCAAAAAACCAGAAAGTAAATAATTCACAGGTTCACTAAAAAAATGAATTATCCGAGAAACTGAGTTTCATTGTGTCATTACTAATACTTTGCTGACTAATCGAAAATATACAATAGTGTTGAATCTACATCTTCTTCCGTCCCTACTTTCGGTTTCAATTAGGCTCCTGGTGATGACAATCACAAAATTCAAACTCGGTAATTGTTAAAGTGAAAATCAAGAAGCATAATGAAAGTCAATAAAAGAATCAAACAAAGAAATGTAAGTAAGGCCTGCGGCAGTATTAACGGTTCCATCAAGTCAGCGCTTGAAGGCAAAGAGAACTGGAATGATGCTGACGATGATTGCTGATATACCCACTTTATCCGCGTCTGTTACGGTTTGGGCTTCTTTTAATCCAATGGCCTCAAGGTACCTGTTGCAAAAGTCGTGGCAGTTGTTGCCAAACATGAAATACGTTCCAAAATGTTTCATCACTGCAATTGCTTTGGCAATTAGATCCTCTCCGGTGGCTTCGATCACTCCGAGGTATTCCATCTCAGGCTTCAAATCTTTGTCAATTTTCCTCGTCACTGGGTAAATATGTCTCCTACCCTTAATTGTGGCGATACCAAGCTCTACAGAGACGAATTGCTCGTCATTTGTAGAGAGAACAATGGATTTGTGGGCACTAATGCCGCTTCCTTGAATCGAGTAAACTTTGTACCTCAACGTCTCGGTCAAGTCTGGTAATAGACCTTGTTCGTCAAGCTCGGTCAATTGCTGCATGTATTCCTCCAAATACTCATCTGTATCGAGCATTGGTTCAGCGAATATATCATCACCACTCGACATGACGAGGGTCCGTTCTCCTGTTACTTAAAAAAGCTGATCTTCACACGTTGTTTTAGCATCCAAATCTCCAAAGTAAAAGCCCAGAAATTCAGTGCGAGTTATGCTAATCAGGCAAGTTGGTGCGATGCAATTGGATGGTCTCATTTTCAGAGGAATTTTACCGCACAATTGCTTCTAAACAAAGGAGGTTCTCCCTCAGAAATACAAAAATATCAATAACTATTCTGACGCAGATGTTTCCAAAGCTCGACACGTTTGCTTTATAGTTTTGATCCTGGTGCTGCAAAGCAGCTCAGAGAAACAGAGTGTAATCACTTTAGGTTACTGAAAAAAATTATCTTTTGCAAAACGCCGTGTTGCATGGAAAAGTGGAAAAGTTGAAAAGTTCCAATTTTCTACGCACTTCCGGTAGAGTAAACCTGCTTCCGGTTTCTGTCATGATGCTTAAAAAGTTTAGTCGAGGCAAAGTAAGCAAGGAGAAAAACTCCGCTATTGTTTGATTATAAGCCATTTTTGAAGCAATTTATTCTTCATTTACTAATAACTTATGACAAACTGATAGGAAAACCAGAAAATAAATAAACAGACCGGAAATCTTTTCTGCTGCTTTATTAGATCTCAGAAGTCTTGAAGTCTTTAATAAACCATAAGATAAAAGATACATATCCTCTGTTACATAAACGAGAAACTGTGTAATGATAATTACAGTAATATACTATGGCCAAAATTAAATTATGTAATTATTACAGGTTGTGTTAAAAAATTAGTCTATTCACAAATGTGTTGGGCGGAGGCAAACCTCGCGACGTAAATTATATTGCTGGGGTTTAGGCTTCAGCAGAATTTCATTTTAACGGATGATGGCTTAGGGCCCTAGCTCCACTAAATAATTTCTTATCCTGCATATGCATGATATCATTGACATTCAATGGAACTGAAATATAACGCCGCTTGTAACATCTGTTTAAAAAGTTCTGTACTGTGTTTAAATCATGTTCATACGCACCATACACTGAAAGGCCATAAGTTAAACTAGGTAATACAATTGTCTTAAAAAGGAGATCTATTTCATTCTGGTCATATTGTTCCTTTCTCAGAGTTCTTAATATATGGAGGCACTTGTTAGCCTTAACTAGTTTGACCTTAACATGAGAACTAAACTTACAATCACTCTGAAGTGTGACTCCGAGTAAGCACTATTCATTATGTTGTGGAATGTCGCGGAATCAAGAGGACTGTATACTTCTTTCTTTTCTTAACGCGTTTATTTTCTTCCATCACTCCTGACAATCTGAACATACTAACACTCTAACGATCTAAAACCAATCTGCCCTTACAATTCAGTGCTACTTCGTTTTACAGTTCTAGTTGCGAAATAAAGTAATTTTCCCACAATCACGAGTTCAGTAAATTCCCAATCCCAAAGTACTGTAATATACCCTATTTTAGTTACAATTTCACAATTACACGTTTCTTTCCCTTATTTAGTTCACTGTACGCATGCAAATCAGTGCTGAACTTTGTTTACAACGTTGTGAAATATCATGTCACGAAATCTTCCTATTCGCGTTACGATCAGTCTAGTATTCCGTTACATTGTGTGACAATTCATAACATTAATCATTAATTATAAAGAAATCGTTCTCGACATGGATTATAGGTGTCCTTGCTCGATTTCTTTCTAATTACAAGCTCTTTGCATTTACTAGGATTACATACAGTTCCCTCGCGACCAATTTAAAAACTCATTCACTGAGGTTACAGAGGTATCAGTATTGCCTAGTACCGGCGATAAATTTCCCCATAGCAACAAGGCTGTGGTGGGCAAGCGAATTAGGCATTCCTTGACAACAACAACAAGACTTTGACCTATCAGGTGTGACACTGCAAGACAATAAAGACTGCCTTTTACCTTTTGTTTCCATTTTAGAAATCTGGTTTTTAAAAGAGTGGTAGTTTAGTGTTTGTCTTTTATACGGGCAAATTTTTTTTCTCGCAGATCGTTTGTAAAACTGAATATATGGTACCTGAAGGGACACGATCGAAGAACGTGACCAGCAATGGCGGCTGCTTTCACCGGTAAGTTGTTGATACTTTTTGTCGTATCTTCTAGACTAATAAATCTTTTCCAACGATCGAGATTCTGATCTTTATTACTTTCTGTCATATTCTTTGGTATTTTAGAGAATAATATACAGAGCCGTAGCGACTTTATGCCATTTCAAGTGATGTTTCTGTGGGACATATTTTATGTACTTCATCGCGACTTCGTGTGAGATCCACGGTGTTGTGTTGAATCTCAGTTCGTAGTTTCGGTTTAACAAATTATCTTATCAAATTATCTTATCTTCTGTCTTTTTTAGATGAATCAGACTTAATAGAAGATGAATTAAGTGATTTGTCTTCTTTTCTCACGATGAGTTTTACAATAGAAGGGGAAAATGGTATGGTTTTCCTTTAACTTTGAAGGTCTACGTAGCGTCTATTGACCTTTGTGTGAGGTTTATTCTTTCCTTCATTATACATGTAATATTGTTTATACCATCTTATATGATCATTATTTTTTATTGTCAAACCCTTAAGATGCCAATTACGACGACCAAGGGACAGTAGAAATCACTAAATTGAACAAAAATCGACTTCATTGTTGTGTCCCACGTTGTAATTGGGATTCGCGATATCACGGCAAGCTGTCTTTCCATCGTTTTCCGAAGCATTACGCTCTAAGAAATCAGTGGATCATCAAAATAAGAAGAGACGTAGGACCTTACTTCACGGTAAACTCGTAAGTTAAGAAAAGTGAGTACTAAATTTACTTTCCATGAAGCAGGGTTGTAAGAATGTTTGTGTTGTCTTTTTCTTTAGATAACAAACAATACAAGGGTCTGTTCCAGGCACTTTTTGGAAAGCGATTATAGGCCTCCAACCCCAACAGGAAAGGCTTTACTGAGAACTGGCGTTGTACCCTCGGTATTCAACTGGCGTACGAACACTTAGCAAAGACGAAAAGTAATACGCCTTGTGGACAGGTAGGGTATATACAGGCAGCCCGAGCTCACGTCTGGAGAAAAAAGCCAACGATTAATTCATGAACCCGTCACGCGTTGTGTGACTCGGTGTTAAGTTACGAGAGGAACCGTTGAAAATTTGAACACATTGTCCGTTGTAGTTTCCGGTGATTTCTGCTGTTTCCGCCTGGTTATAAAGAATATGTGGGGAACGAATTTTGGTCGATTTACAACGGTAAATATTTCGAAATATGAATATTTTACTCGTAGAATCAATAACACTTACTCGCATCCTGTGTGTCCGTTGTAGTTTCGGGCGATTTCTGCTGTTTTAAGCTTGCTTTACCATAACTGTTATTCCTGTCAAAGGACGAAGTCTCTTTCTGTTGGAAATGAACTTTGCTTTTTGTGCTTGCATTAGCCTGAGTTTTTATTCTCTAGAGTTTTTTCTCTTGGTATGCAATCCCTAAAGAATCAGGTGAAAAAATGACACCAATGTCAGACCAAAAGAAAACACAAATAAGAATGGCATTGTCAGATTTAAAACTGATAATAATGATGAAATCTCTGTGGTATCAAATACTTTGCTACTGCACATCAATCAGCAACTAAAAGAAATATTGTCAACATCAAACGACTGTCTATTTGCAGGACTTAGCATTATTACAGTAGGTGATTTGTATTAACTTCCACCAATTTCAAGATGATAGAGTTGACTAAAAATATGAGACAAAAGGATGACCAACCATCCACAGAGTTATTTAATAGATTCAGAACTGTTTAAGAACTGCTCCACAAACAGAGGGTGATATTCAATGCATTCAGTCAAGGCTAGTGTATCTTGAAGATACTGATTACCCAGTATCCATTGTTTTGTATTTTTGGGACAGTTTTTGGTGTATCTCCTGGTTATTTTTTATATCCCTAAATTGTTTTTTCTCCAATAATATTTTTTTCTCTGCTGGCTCCATTGGTTTATAGCATTGTTTTTTTTCTATGTTTAATCATCAATTTTTTTCTTTCCTTTCTATCAACTACTTTACATGAGCTGGTAGCAAACAGTATTCTGTGATTGCCCAGAGTATTATATTTCTCTAGTTTTTTTTTCTGATGGCATCAACAAGTGAAGCCATTCCATTTTTGTTTTTAGTGTACTGAATAGGGGACTTGTGTCTTTCATTATAAAGCTGGGGGGAATACATATATTTTGATTTTTTTTGTGAGTTTAAAGGTACATCTGATGCAGTACGAAGATATCAAAAACCCTGTGCTTTCATTAATATGTATTATTTCATTCCCAAGAATTGACTTGCTTTGAAGTGAATCAGCTAATAGTCCTTCACTCTCAAACAAATTATCCAAATTTTCTTCAGTTTCACAAACATCTACAGTTCTTGGAAGATTAGCTGGTGATTGCTGGTTGTGTTCTAACCTCGATTTACAACACATCTTTTTGCCTTTGTCAATAATGGTGGGTACAGATGAGTTGTAATTCAAGTCATTACATGATTTCATTATAGAGTAGTTAAGAAAGTATAGAGCTACAGCACAACTTATGCCCCGTTCACACCAAAGCTTAAACATGTTTAAATCTTGTTTTACTAAACTGATTTTATTAAACTACCTGTTCACACCGCGGGCGCGTGTAGCCAAACATGTGTGTGTACTTTACCCGGCCATCCAACACATATATCAAGAAATAGATAATTACAATCTACTAGCCCCTGAAGGATTAATGAGTGGAATCCCTTCCTGTTAACATAATCACCTGGACTTTGCCGAGGTCCAATGATTGGGACATGGCAACCATCGACTGCTGCAACCACCTGGGGAAAACCCGCGCGACTTTTCAAACCTTCAATTTTTTCTTGGACGTCGTGTTGATTTTGGGGAACATTTATATAATTGGGAAGAAGAACGTTCACTATCACCTCGCATACCTGTCGCACAATACCACAAACAGTGGATTTTCCGACACCAAATAGATTTCCGATCGTTCGAAAGTGAACCGTGTCCGTAAGCCAATAT